GGATTGATTCTGAGGCAGAGGGCAGATTATTGACCCTCACCTGTATCACCTGTATCACTATCCACCAGAGGCTAGCAGGGCCTCCTTGTCAAACCCCTCAAAGTTCATATCCTCACTATCACTGACTTGGGCTGGTTGTGGTGGGTGGCGGGTGAAGAACTCGGTAATGTTTTGTTAACAGGGCAAGCAAGGTTAAATAGACCAATCACAGTGTGCGGCGGAGGGGTGCGTGGGTGGTAAGGATATGTGGCCCAATCACAGTCCGAGACGTCATCGGCACGAGTCTGACGTCAGCGGTGAGGTCAACGACCAGCAGCTTGCCTGCCGTTTGCCGCATAAATTAAGGAATGTACCGCGTAACTAATAATTGGCGCGTCTGGACAGGTGCCGCGTAAATGGCCAAACGCGTATAAAATATCCGCGTAAACCCAGACTATACCGTATTGTTTTAAAAAGGTATTTACTGTGAATGTCACTTTACTATTATTTAAGTCTCATTATTTCAGAGTGTGCTGTTAATTTTTTGTGTGTGTCTGATAAGTAAATTATAATACAGACTTTCCACATTTTCATGAAAATTTAAAGCCTTTACACACACTGATTATATTCACTTAAACCTTAAAGCCTTCCAGATACTTTTATTGATACAGGAATGGAGAGTTTACAAGTGTTTATGAGAAAATATGGAGTAGAGTGTAAAGAAGGGGCCACAATAATCACTTCTTACTTTAGTATTTTCTTTATGACAACACCAGTACTTTATACATTATATGTATGTGTCAGTGTTGTGTTGTGTTTGTCTGTGTTTGTGCTCTTGAGATGTTGATCAAGTGTGCACTTGTTGTATGATGCACATCATTTGTGGCACAAGGTTGGTAGATCCATTCACACATTGTTTTATGCACATGTCCTGTGACTTTAATAGTTATTGATGTTTCTTTAATTCTTTTGCTGTCAAGGGTAAACAGCACTTAACTGTCAATCCTTTCTGCTTGTATGTCTCTCTAGTTTTGGCCAGTATTTCTTTTAAGTACTTTGCATGTTATAACTAATTTCTCCATAATGGACTGACATATAAGAGATATCAAAGAAAAGTCTGTTTTTTTACGTGGATATAACTACTTTACAAGGATTACACTGCCTCATCATCCTGTGAACTAAATTTATTGTCACGAATAACCTCAGAGCTCTTACATGAGCCAACCTGATTACCTTATACGAGTGGAAAGGATTAAATGGTGCTATTTAAGATATTCAGGATTAGATAAAAATATTTAATCACAGCAAATCCTGCTCAGTCACCAGATTTGTAATCCACAATTAACCAATCCACAGCAAATTTGAAGTACAGTTCTGTATAGTATTGTGTCTTCCATAGTACTGTACAGAACCATAAAATACAGGAGAAAATACCCCCAAAATATTTATTTACATATAAATACAAAGGCATGCTTCAAGTGCAGTGCAATGATTATTAATTTTATACAAAATCAAATTACAGTACAGTACAGTAAAAGAATGTACACTAATTAAGGAAAAAACTTCTTCACATAACAGTGCAGCTCGACTCAGGTGGTAATGGTTAACTGATTATAACCAGTGAGAGAAGTGCTGGGGTACAGGATGTGTGACATTCAGTCTACACTGGAGGACATAATTCACTTATTCTAAATTAAATTAGTATACCATGTACTGTTCTGTATGAGTACGTTAACATTAAATGTTCAGAAACGTATTTCATCCTGATACTGTACTTGATTACACGGGCCTGTCTATAGAGCCTGTTTAATATGTTAGTCCTGTAAAGTTATCCCCCTGACTGTGATCTCTGCTAGACATTAAGACTTGAGGATCATAATTACCACCTGGAATATAACGTCATTTACACCAAAGGCTTCAGTGATTTACAACATGCACTACCGTGTTTATAGTGTTTGTAGGAGTGGAACCCTGAGGACTGGGCAGGATTTGATATACTGTATAGTCTTCATTTACGCGGTCAATTGAACCCGTGGAGGTCCGCGTAAAACGAGAAACGCGTAAACGAAATAACAGAACATATGGGATTAATTGAAATAGAGACTGGGCTGACCCCCAAACTACACTTTTTCCGACACAATACGTAAGTTGTAGTAAAAATAACATCTTAATTTTATGATGGTATGCACACACAATTAATATTTAAGAGACATATCAATAATATTAGGTTTTTTAACACTTACGTTAGTAGAAAAGATGGCTGGGCACACGGGGATGGGGGGTTGGTTCTGAGGCAGAGGGCAGTTTATTGGCCCTCACCTGTATCACTTGTATCAATTGTATCACTATCCACCACATATAACGGACTACCGTATATAGGAGAATGCAGTCCATTATATCGAGTTTCATTAGATATGAAACCTCCATATAACAGACTACTGTATATAGGAGAATGCAGTCCATTATATCGAGTTTCATTAGATATGAAACCTCCATATACCGGTAACAGACTACTGTATATAGGAGAATGCAGTCCATTATATCGAGTTTCATTAGATATGAAACCTCCATATAACAGACTACTGTATATAGGAGAATGCAGTCCATTATATCGAGTTTCATTAGATATGAAACCTCCATATAACGGACTACCGTATATAGGAGAATGCAGTCCATTATATCGAGTTTCATTAGATATGAAACCTCCATATAACAGACTACTGTATATAGGAGAATGCAGTCCATTATATCGAGTTTCATTAGATATGAAACCTCCATATACCGGTAACAGACTACTGTATATAGGAGAATGCAGTCCATTATATCGAGTTTCATTAGATATGAAACCTCCATATACCGGTAACAGACTACTGTATATAGGAGAATGCAGTCCATTATATCGAGTTTCATTAGATATGAAACCTCCATATAACAGACTATAGTTCGTTAAGAGGTTTTACTGTGGTAAGTTTTTTTTACTACTTATGATAAATTCAAATTGTAATGATAGCTTCACATGCGGTGCCAGGTCATGGGTGTGTCTCAGAGGGTCTGTGTCTTAATTATGTTTATTGATTGAAATTTTTGTTGTCTCTTTATAAATATTTACCCTAAGTAATAACATTTTGTGTTGAGTATTTTATTCACCTACAGTACAGTACAGTACAGTACAGTACAGTACAGTACAGTACAGTACAGTACAGTACAGTACAGTACAGTACAGTACAGTACAGTACAGTGCAGTGCAGTACAGTGCATTGCAGTACAGTACAGTACAGTACAGTGCAGTGCAGTGCAATACAGTGCAGTGCAGTGCAGTGCAGTGCAGTGCAGTGCAGTACAGTACAGTACAGTACAGTACAGTACAGTACAGTACAGTACAGTACAGTACAGTACAGTACAGTACAGTACAGTACAGTACAGTACAGTACAGTACAGTACAGTACAGTCTGCATTTACGCGGTCAATTGAACTTGTGGGGGCCCGCGTAAAACGAGAAACGCGTAAGTGAAATAACAGAACATATGGGATTAATTGAAATAGAGACTGGGCTGACCCCCAAACTACACTTTTTCCGACAATACGTACCTTGTAGTCAAAATAACATCTTAATTTTATGATGGTATGCACACACAATTAATAATTAAGAGAAATATTAATAATATTAGGTTTTTTAACACTTACATTCGTAGAAGAGCTGGGTCAGCACACGTGGATGGCGGCTGGTTCCGAGGCAGAGGGCAGATTAGTTGCCCTCCGGTGAATCACTTTCACTTTCACTACTCGCAGAGGTTTGCAGGGCCTCCCAGACAAACCTCTCAAAGTCCATATCCTCACTGTCAATATCACTATCACTGACTTGGGCTGGCTGTGGTTGTGGTGGGTTGCAGGCGAGGAAGTCCTCAATACTACGTTGACAACTAGCATTGATGTTGTCGAGATAGATCTGGATATACGCTCCATAAATTTCGTCAGATGGTTATTAGATGCTTCTTACCGATGCTTGTCTGGGTCGTTGTCAAGGTTGAGCTTAATTTTCTCCCCCAACTCAATGATTTCCTTCACACAATCATGGCTTGGTCCAGGTAATTCAATGTTTTTCTCTGGTGGTGGGGGTCCCGCGGAAGCCATAGTGAGTTGTGAGGGGAATAGCGGGCACAAGAGAGAACTGTATACGCGGACTGAGAACAATGAGACAGGCCCTGCTAGGTCAGCGACTTCTACCCTCTGTTGGCAGGGCACATCATGTTACATTAGACCAATCACAGCTAGCGGCGGAGGGAATGCGTGGGTGATAAGGATGCGTGGCCCAATGACAGTCCGATACGTCATATGACGTCAGCAATAACGTAAGAGCGGCCTAATGCGCACCACTCCCCGCGCCGCTTCCCGCGTATGGTCGAGAATGGACCGCTTGAATAAAAAATGGTGTGGAGCGTCTGGACCTCCAGCCGCTCTCCGTGTAAATGACCAAATTTACCGCGTAATTAAAGCATTTACATTCTGGCAAGGCACTGTATAAATGACCAAACGCATTAACCAAAACCGCGTAAATCCAGACTATACTGTATAAGTTTTATTGTTTGACATATGTAATTATTTATTTTGTTTTGGTATGTGTTTGTAAAAGCATTCTCTAAATTACATTTAATTCATTAAGTTATTATATTTCTTTACCAAAACAAAATACATTACATATATACCATATGTAATAAACTGATATTTAGACTTATGCACATACCTTTCACTGCATGGCAATACTGTAATATATATAATCTTTTATATTTGTTCACATAGTCTACTTTATTAATGATAAAATATGTTGTTTGCTTTTCTTTTTATGTTTCAGCATAGTACATACAATGTGTACTATTTATTTTGGGACATATAGTACAGTACCTTTATCTGAAAAATTATACTATAGATATAACTTAACCAATTGATAGATGGTTAGTCTTAACAGTGTGGCGCAGATGTGCATGTCCTCGTGTCTCATTGGTTTATCTGTTTGTTTTATGCAGGGTCAGCCATCCCCATAATAAAGGGTATGTACCATGGTGTCCTGCCCATGCTTGCCCCATCATGTATGTTAGTTACTGTAAGCTTGTGTGTGTGACAACTTTATTCACACTAGTGTACAGTACAGTAGCTACATCTTAGTTCATTGACACTTGTGTTTGATTACTGTCTCTTTTAAGTTCCCAGTTATAATTTTTGTGTTATCCATTTGCTACAGCTGTTAGTAGAGTATAATTTATTTATATTATTAAGGCCTTTCTAATATCACTTGGGCTCACCCCAGGTGTCAGTATTCTTTTATGTTATTTATCCTCCCAAGTTGTCATTAATTCCCAGTTGTTAGAATAGTTTTTGTGTGTTGTCTGTCCTCCTTTGGTTCCTGTTAGTTAGTACAGTACCTATGTTGTCCCTCCTGTGCGGTCACCTAACCCATTATAGCTATTACAGTTTCTGTGCTATCCATCTTCCATCACTTACCACCAACTTCTCACTCACTTTACCAACTGCTTCGTGTGTGTCAGGAATACTTTAAATGTTATCTATCAGTGGCAATGCTAATATTTAATTTTCTCTGGCAAGTAAAGTACTGTATCCATCTTTGGGAGAAATTCTAAAATTCAGTTCCGCTTAATATTTGTTTCTTTTTTAGGTGAATTATCATTTAATTTCTAAATTAACATTAGTCTTTATAGAAATAACGACTTAATCCTCTGTAAAGGATTGTATTTGATGTATGTAGACATTAACCATGTGTGTACACGTGCCGGAACATTCACCTGTTGCAGAGACCCTTGATATATATTTACTTTTTAATACAGATTTACAATATAATACAGTATTTTTTTTAGCCACTAAGGCCACTAGTACTAATAAGATTACTAAATTTGTCCAAGTACCATAGGTCATAGACTCACATCCATCAGGTACTCACTGCAGTTGTATAAATGGTACAATATTCACATGTACACTTATCATAGAAATATTCTTTAACCCCTTATGATGTGGTACAGTACCCCACACATGAGTCAATGGGAGTCATATTCAACATGCCAAGGCCTCATGAATATCTCAGAGCAGGATTATGAAAGAGCATGACATTTTACTTGTGGGATATAAGCGAGACTTGGCCTTAAGACATTACTATTGTGTATCATGTCAAGTTAGGTTAGGTTATTATGCCATCTGTCAGAACATTTCAAGTTTATTCATTTGTTTTGAGTTTGGCTTCAAGCTCATGTCTTTCCTTGAAGTCCACTATATGGTGGCATATTTTGTTTCCTACTATCAAGGTAAAATTAATGTATTTGAGTGTTATATTTTTTGATCATTAGCATTTTAGGTACAGTAGAATATAATTCCTACCACATCCTTGAAAAATGGTCAATCTGCCATTCATTGGCACCTGCATCATAAGGGGTTAACCAGCTTCACACACTCACACATATCACTCGTGGAAGTATTACCACGGATTGGAGTTTGGAGACTGGTCCATCTTTCAGTTGGCTGCTGTTGTATTTCGCTTGCATTTGGCGGTCCACCAGCTGTAGTGTTAGTCCACCAATACAGTAATCGGTTCTAGGGCTTAAAATCCTTACTATTTTAGTAAATATCAAGAAGTTTGTACTATTCAATAATTTTAAAAGTTTTATATTAAATTTTTTAGTAATTTTAACAATTATTGAACATAATTGAAGTATAGGAAGCTAGTTTTTTGCACGCCAAACAGCCTGTCAACACACCATACAGGGGTCAGTCTCTGTGTCTTTTCAGTGGAGGTAACATCTTGCTTGAGACTCTCTTCAACTAAACGCTTTTTTTCTGTGTTTCCAAGCAAATTATTGGTCAATTTGAAATTTATTTTACATGTTGACAATATATAATGCATTGCAGTGTTGATTTAAAGAAAATAATCTTGAAATACACCAAGAGAACTAAAATTTTATGGGTGAAATGGCACCATGGGGTTACTTCTCTTCCACCCCAATGCCTTCTCTTCTCCGTTCTCCTCCACCCCCATTCTAATTCCCATCATCATCCAGGTGCCTTCTACATACACACCTCAAAGTAAGTGTAATTTACTACCTTTTTTGTTAATTTTAGGCAATTTTCGGTGAGCTGGAACCAATTACCCAAAAACCCATTGAAACAATGGTTTCGGTTAACGAACTTTTCTGTTAACGAACGACCTTCTGGAACGGATTGAGTTCGTTAACGGAGAGGTCACTGTATATATATATATATATATACACATGCTGATAACCACAAGGAAAGAAGAAAACTCGAAGTTCCCAAGCCCTTTCGTGTAATTCACATCTTCAGGGGTGAGTACAGGCCAGGAATCCAATGCTCTGTTTGTTCATTTGAGGGATAACAAGCATTGCATTGACTGGGATAATGCCTCCTCAATATTACCTTGTAATTCAATTGATAGTAGGAACATCATAGAATCTAGTCTCATTAAACATACCGAAGCATTCAACATGAATTTGAGTAATGGCATGTACAAACTGGACAATTTAGTAATTAAGAAGATTTGTAACCAGGTGAGAAGGTTGGGTCACCTTACCCTCTGACCTGACTACCAACCATTGCGGTGCTATTTAAAGGTTAGTAGGGTCATTACCTAATACCTGACCATTGTGGACCTGGTCTCACCCTCCTCTGTATATACACCTTGTTTTGTATTTCTCTTAAGTCTGTACTCACCCCTGAAGATGTGAATTACACGAAAGCGCTTGGGAACTTCGTGTTTTCTTCTTTCCTTGTGGTTATCAGCATATACCTAGATCCCGCATTCCGCGTATCACCGTTACCGCGGTGCCTTGCCAGAACCTAACATTTTCACATTCCGCGGTCGCGAACGCCATTACACGGAGAGCGGCTGGCAAGCCGCGCCATTTTTGGATCCAAACCATCCGCCATGTTGTGTAAGAGGCACGAAAATGGTGCGCACAAGGTCACCCAGTCATCAAAACATTACCGAGTTCTTTACCCGCCACCCACCACAACCGGCCCAAGTCAGTGATAGTGATAATTATAGTGAGGATATGGACTTATATGGACATTGAGGGGTTTAACAAAGAGGCCCTGCAAGCCTCTGTGGTGGATAGTGATACAATTGATACCAGTGATACAGGTGAGGGCCAATAATCTGCCCTCTGCCTCGGAACCAACCCCCCATCCCCGTGTGCCCAGCCATCTTTTCTACTAATGTAAGTGTTAAAAAACCTAACATTATTGATATTTCTCTTAATTATTAATTGTGTGTGCATGCCATCATAAAGTTAAGATAATATTTTTACTACAACATAGTTGTGTGTCGTCAAAAAGTGGAGTTTGGGGATCGGCCTGGACTCCATTTCAATTAATCCCATATGTTATGTTGTTCACTTTACGCGTTCCTCACTTTCCGCGGGACCCTCCGGGTTACATTAACCGCGTAATGTGAGGACCAACTGTATATATATATATATATATATATATATATATATATATATATATATATATATATATATATATATATATATATATATATATATATATATATATATATATATATATATATATATATATATATATATATATATATTCTCTATGTTGCCACCATTACACTTAATGCATATACGGATGCGTTGCTCCTACTCATGGCGAACTCGTGTTATCAAGTCTTGTGTTATGTGCAGACACGCATCACGAATGCGTTCCTTTAAGTGGTCCGTGTTTTGTATCTTTACCTGGTACACCATGGCCTTCAAGTGCCCCCACAAGTAAAAATCAAGGGGGGTGAGGCCTGGGGACCTCAGACGCTACTCCACGGGACCATGGCGGCCAATTCAGTGAGCCGGAAAGTGCTGATCCGGCCACTGGCGCATGCGTATACCGTAGTACGCTGGAAATTCCCTGTCCCCTTGTAGCATGTTTAGGTACATTTCGGCATTCAGATTGGTGTCAATGAAAACAGGGCCAACAACTGTGCCGCCTCATATCCCGCACCACACCATCACTTTTCCAGGGCCTTGCATCTTTGAGGGACTCATCCAGTGCGGGTTGGCATCACTCCAATAACTTGATCATTTTGCCTATGTATGGAGACTTTTGACTCACCTTGTACAACAGTGACACACAACAAGACTCAATCTTCAGTATTTCAATTCATTATCTTTATAGTTCACTCAATACTGTGGATACAAGTTACACTGACACACACAATTATCACGACTCCATGAGTTTCGATGGTATAACCTTACCACTCATCCCTAATCAATATTATACCTTTTAACACACTGTACAACACAAGGCATCTCAGTAATAATACAGGATGAATTACCACAGGGCTCACGTCTTGGCAAACTTAGTCATGGGTCATTCTATCCAGGCTCATTATAGGATTTCAGGATCAGTTGCTCATTTATTTTTCAAAAGCATCACTTCTTAAAGTCTGTTTATAAGTTGTTTTACGGTCACTAATTAAAGATCAGATTTCAGAGTAATATAATATTTAGGTACATACGAGTTTGTCAAAATATACAGTACATAGGCCTGGTACTGTATGTATATCACTGTTTCTAATTTGGAAAAACAGCTGGCTGTTTAATACATGGTTAGGATGTGTTATTATCATTACATCTTGATAAGTGAAAAGATTCTTGAAATTAATTTGTAGTAATTTTTTTTTGTTTTTAAACTTGTTGCATTTCCCGTGCAAACATTATACATTATTTTTTAACATACTGCAATGTGCATGATATAAAGAATTTGTGCTCATTGAGTAAAATTTGATGCTATACTGCAGTTTCTATAATTGATAGTCATCTTTATACAATTTAATCAAAATTATGTGACCTTTTGTAAATGAAGAGACTGAGCATGATGCATGTTGTAATGTTACTCAGTGTGCGTTGCTTATGCTATTATTGTACAGTAATGCTATCCACTGATGTATTTCATAATATTACGAGTGTAATCAATATACTGCTGCAGTTTCAGATGCAAATACAGTAGAACCTTGATAAAACGGACTAATTGGGGCAGACCCCACTCCGAAAAATGCGAAAGTAAAAAAAAAAAAAGCGAATGTATACGGGGTGGGGGATAACACTGCTTCACTGAACTGTTTAAAGATGATCAGTTGTTGTTATGTTATTACTGCACTTCACTTCAATAACTAAGGTCTTTAAGTGTACAGTAAAGTCTCCGATAACGACGGTTCGACCAACAACTTTTCATATTTAAAACCCTAGTTAATTTAGGACCCAATTCAATTTACGTCTTTATTCCATTCGTATTTACGACCAAAGTACAATAAAAATAAAATTAAATGACATTTTCATATAAATAATAACTAAATCCCAATGTGTATTATAAAAAAAAAAAAAATACTGTAAAAAAAATTTAGTGTGCCTTGCTCAAAGAAGCTGCTAAAAAAAAATTAAGAGCGCCTTACGCAAAGAAGCTGCCTTGCTAATGAGTGGTAAACAACAGTCGGAGCTTGGCGGGCCTTTTGTTTTCGCGCTTCTGGAACAGGATCAGGAGAAAAACTTTCTCAGGTTTTTTACAGCATTTTTGCATCCCCATTCAACATGAGCAAGAGAGCAAGTGATGGTAGTGTTGTTTCAAAAGCCAATAGAAAGTGTATAAGCTTAGCCGAGAAACTAGATGTGTTGAAACGAGATGAAAAAGGTGAGAGGTCTGTGGATATTATATGGAGCAAGCAATGAACATATTTTCTGAAGTGGATCCATTAACAGAACAAAGCCTGGTGAGTCCTAGCATATCCATTTTAGAATTTGGCAGAATGATTGCATCCTGAAATGTTATTGGTGGGAGATCATCTAATTTGGAAAGTGTAATTGGTAAATACTGTGTTTTATTGCTATTGAATTTAACCGCCCCTAAAAGACTGCCTAGTGTTAGTGCTAGTGATGTTAGTGGAGTGAAGTGTGAAAGGAAGAAGTCAGTGATGACCCTGACAAAGAAGTTGAATTACTAGTTAAGTTAAAAGAGAGGATGAGTGCTGCTGCAGCTGGTCGGTTGTTTGGTATAGGTATACAGTAGTGCACTAAGGTAGTATAAGTTGCTATTCGCGGTTTTGCCTATTTATGCCTTTCCTTGGAACCAAACCCCCACGAATAACAAGGATTTACTGTACAGCACTGGCCATTGTTGGAAAATGCTTACATAATTAATTTGAGGTCATTCTCTATATAGTACAGTATTCTATTATAGTGAAATTTAACTAAAGGTGGCAGCACACTGGGCACTTTCTTCCAAACATGTTGCCCGTTTTGCTAGCTGCTGGCCTGACGGCCCAACAAGCAGCAGGATTTCTGCTGTTTCGAGAAATGGACAACGGTTTGGTGGGAATCTTTGCTGGCCGGATTAGTGCTCAAATGAGCTTCATATAAGTTTAAGTAAAAATTTAAATATATCATGAAACAATAATGATTTAAAATATAACACATACATGGTGACATGTTTCTATTTATTCGTCACGCTAAAACTTCTTTAATATTATTAAACCATTACGTATTCAGGGTCTTCTTTGACCGGCCAGCCACCGCCACTTTTAAAGAAACTTCACGACGCACCCATTGTCTTTTCTTTAGCTTTTGCAGATGCCTCACTTGCTTCAGCATTTGAAGAACTATAGCACAATCCTGCAAGGCCTCAACTGTAGTAATGGGATCCACAGTGAACCACATCTAGATGCTTTGTTGTTGTTTTCATTGCTTTGGGTAGACACGCCAACAAAACATTCCCGTGTGATGCTAAACATCTCTTTGTTTTGCTGGTCGGACCATGTTTGTCAAACATGTTTGGAGGAAAGTGCCCAGTTTTGAGTAATGTGTGTAACTCTTAAACATGAGGTAAATGAAGTGCATTGAACGTGACAAAGTACAGTAGTCTTACATGTCCACGGCAATGCAGTGTGGAGGGAAAGAATGAGTCTTCTTTATCACTAAAATACTATGTATTCTTTTAGGAAGCACAGTACAGTAGTTAGATTGCTGGGTGAACTTAGCATCTGTATACCTACACTCTCTTACTCAGCCCATAGTACAGTACTGTACTGTACATTAAGTTTGTGAGAACATTTGATTTTCCCCCAATATATTTTATTGTAAAGTAATGCCCGTTAGGCTCAACACCACATACACCGACACTCTCCATCTCTTATATGGTCTCCAGCTTTAACATTATAAAGTTTTTTATTTTCCGTTAATCTGTTATGTAACCCTTGTAGCTGTACCATCTGTACTGACTTTTATTCAACTTCTTTCTCATATTTTAATAACTTACTCACCTGTGTATCCTCCACATAAAGCTTCCTATGTACAGTATTAATGCCATCAGATCATCTTTACAGTCTTGCTATGATCTGCTCTCAGATTTCACTCATTACCTTTCCCATTGATACCTAACATGTACATTCATTTGTGTTATCAATACAGTATATGTGCCACCATGTGTTACAATTATATATTGCCCCATCAAAACAAATACATTTTCCTGATTCACTGTGTCATTATATAGTCTGCTGCCACTCACCCAGCAGTTGTTTGTCTTTATAGCTACAAAAACAGGCAGAGTTCTTTTCAGTCCATTAGTGCTCTGACAATCCTTGATCATCTTGTTGAGATTTAATTATCTATTATACCATGTTACTCAATTGTTGAAAAATTATAAGGACTTCATTCCAGCTGTTGTTCATCGTGCAACATTTGACATTTCAACTACTCACAGAGGTAGCCACTTTGCTTTTGTTTTATTCTTGTACATCCTGTAGTAGTTGTCGTTGACTCCCTCCCCTGATGTACAGCAGCATGTAAACAAAAGCCAAAATTAGACAAAGGTTGATTAAACAACTACAGTATATCTTGTAATTGACGTGTTTTAGTTATTTAATATATTTTGGAGTGTAAAGTTTAGTGGCATGTACAGTATGACGTCAGATATTTGATAAGTTTCCATCTAAAGCATATTCAAGGCATGATTTTTATTTTGCCCTTGAAATTTATTGCTAATCATGATTGAGAAGGCGTTAGTATTTTTTTCCACGGCCAAACTGGGCCAAGTTTTGTCAAATTTTTTGCAAGATCTGATTGTGAGGAATGAAGGGTAACTGGGAAAGGTCACCGTGGCAGCATTAAAATGTGGTAATTTATGAGAATATGGACCCCAGATTAATGTCTCAGGACAAACTTGGAAATGGCAGAATGAGTGATATTTGGACTTTTCTATTGTCTATGTTTAGGGATCATGTCCTGTGAAACTTTTTCTTGAAAAGTTTCTTTTAACCATGGAATATTTTAAAATACTGTAGCCTGATCTTAAAAACTGGAAGAATTACAACTTCCTTTAGCCTGACAATTTAAATTTTTTTCTTTTTCTTATATAAAATTTGAAATATTTTTTATGCCCTATAAAGTCATGGTGAGTAAAATCTTTGCTAAGAAATATTAATATTTTTCTCCATCACCACATGGTCTTCTGTATGAGAAGAGTAGTGTGTGTTATACTGTACATTAGTTGACATGCTCTCCACTTTTCATTTGTCAGGGATAATTCATTACACTGTCACTGCAGTTGTTGTATTGACATACAGGTTGACAACCCTTTATCCGAAATTCCGAAAACCGAAAAGCTCTGAAAACCGAAAAAAAAATTTGTGGAGCAATTTTTTTTTTTTTTTTTTTGATGGGTATTAGCCCACCCGGGCACATGTCACTGACCCACATCGGGGCCTGGGGGGTGAAAATGTAATAGTAATAATAATTATAATAATACAGGTAATAATAATAATGATAATACAGTAATAATAATAATTATTCATAGTAAATAAAATTTATAATAAAAAATACACAAAAATAAAATAATAATAATAATAATAATAATAATAATAATAATAATAATAATACTGTAATAATGAAATAATAATAATAATAAAGAAATGCAAGAATGAAAAAAAAGATCAAATGTGAGAAACATGACCTAGATCTATGAATTATTATTATTATTATTATTATTATTATATTTTAGCCCCCAGGCCCCAATGTGAGCCAGTGACCTGCTGTGCCCGGGTGGGCTGATCCCTGAAAAAAAAAACCTTACCATTCTGAAATCCGAAAAATTCCAAAAACCGAAATGCATCTGGTCCCAAGGATTTCGGATAAGGGATTATCAACCTGTACTTGGTGGGTGAGACATCATACATGTTATGTTTCATCCCTATTTATAAAAAATATTGTCTGTAAACTAACTTGTTTCCAGGGCTTCCTTACAAGTTTTAAACAAGGTGTATATGTTGTACATTCTTTACACACAGAATGACCTCAATCATGAATTACCTAAATTTTAAATCCTTTGAAGAAATAACCCTATTTGTTCATCAAAAGCAAATCAAATTAATCAGATTCAATTGGTACTTGAATATCCAATTTGTTTTTGAGACATACAGTACAGTACTAATAGACCATATTATTGTAATGTTTCTATATGTTAGTGAAATGGTTTAGGTGACCTTCGTAACCCCATGATAGGGTAGTTGGGTGCTAATACTCTCTTCTCTTGAAATTAGAGTTACATTAGCCTGTGTTTACCTCTTCCTGCACAGAGGACCTTGAGGAGAATGCAGCATTACATAAATGGAGCTCCTTGGAGTTGCTACCCCAGGATGGTGACTCTCAATCAACACCTGGCCATTCTGGCAATGAAGGTAAGGGACTTGAGCAAGACAAAACTTTCGTACAAGGCTTTCCACATATTTTAATTAACCCTTAGTCCCTGGTTGACGTTTCAGAACGTCCGACTAGCGCGCCCCCCGTGTGACATTCCAGAATGTCCGCCTATTTTCCCGCCATTTTTTTTTATCTATTTTTGTTTTATTATTATTATTTTTGGAAAAGTTGATTTTTTTCACGATTTAACCCTGCAGGGGGGTACTGCCACAAGTACCCTAACCCGGGCTTAAGGGTTAATGATTTATAAGATTCATTAATCAGTAGAACATGAAGGAAAATGAAACTCTGTACGAGATAACAAAATATACTCATGAATAATTTAATGTTAAAAATTTCTCATTGTGCTACATAATTATGATACAAATACCCTAACACTTATTTTTGATTTATTTTTTATATAAATTGTCTGTTAACACACTTTACATGTAGTGTCTGTTTAAACTCTTTACAGATAGTATCTTCTCACATGCGTTCATGTCACGAGTGGCCGCTGAACGCCACAGTCGAGTGTTGGGCCGCAGCATGGAGGCTTCAGCCCCATCCTCCCCGTCTCACTCCCCGTCCCACCAGCCTGGCCCCTGTTCTACCACGGTCCTGCTTCTGGTAATTCATGCTGGATCCGTCCTTGACCCCACATCAGGTGAGCCCTAGTATTATAGTGGTGTAGACAGAACTGATCTAAGGATTATTAGATACTGTACAATGAATGTTACTTCTCAAACCCTTCGTCTACCTTACCCTCTGTTTCCCTTTCTGTCTTTAACTTTAGAGTATCATACTTTCTATGTAAGGCTTCACTATATAGACTTGTCTACTTATATAACCAAAACAGATATATCCTCCAGAACAGTGAGCATTATAACAAAACAAGGTTGTACACTCGCACCAAAAAGTATCGGTGCAGGGTGTGATCAACGACTTCTGAAACGATACGTATACACTGTGATATGTCGGGAAGGTTGGTAAGTGTATCCTCATAAACCCCCCCCCCCACTAGGTGTTGCCATATGGCTGACAATCAGTGTGTTTGTTTCCTCTTTTCGGATTGTTGCTTTGTGTCGACTGAATGATGAACGAGGGTTCGGTCTCGGTGAACGTGGGTATAAAACAGAGGCAATATGAAGCAGTAGAGATCTACACATGCCAGACGACATGGAAACCCCAGAGGGAACACGAGGAGCTATTATTGCCCTTCATAACGAAGGGTTCGGCGTCACAGATATTCGCCGGCGGGTGTTACATTACAGTACATAGTTACATACAACTCCTGGCTTCTCTCAACTGCCAATCCCAGTGGGTACTTACTTCACCCACATTATTGGTGATACATTTCATTGCATACATGACCAACTTACATATGGTCCCTTCGGTACTCAACATGTTATTACTGAAACCAACTCATACATGGGTCCACTACCCAACATGGGATAATTATTTAATTAATTATCCCCAAACATACACATCAAACACTGTGGGCCAAAAAAGACAGGAATGCGTCCCAGGGTAGGACACTGGGGCTTACGACCGTTGCTGTGATCGGTGGAAGCCAGACACATGGCGAGTCTGGGGTCTAGCTCCACGTGGTAGAGTGAGCAGATTAATCATGCCGAATCAGCGCCATCGTCCTTATATTGATCATTGCTGAATATCCACCGGTTCCGAGCGACCAGTGGGTGTTCAATTAAGCTTTCTCCTGTACCTGTAGACAAGTTGGAGAGGACGTGTCACAGAGGGAAAGCATGGTGGTTCAAACACAAACAACATCTCTCGTCTAGCAACGTCAGACGACATTTACTTTATATTACTTCTTACACTGGGTGAATGACAATTACACTCACAACATGAATACTGATAATTCACTACAATTGACTAAATCAAACTGAATGGTTATATCGGCGGGAGAACACAGCTACATACCTGTAGACAAGTTGGAGAGGACGCGTCACAGAGGACGACTCTCTACTCGGCAGTGGTTCATATACCCCTGAGTTACCAGCGATCGCTACTCACACAATGACAGAAATCACAAACAAACCAACTGTCACTCATTCAAGGATGACCCTCAGTTGACAAAGGTCTGGCGAATTACTAAAGTTGATTTACATAAACTAATTCAAGATTGAGCTTGCCAGGAAAAAAGAAATAAAATGCATTGACAATTGTGTTCGAAAGCAGAACTTAATGGGAGGAATCATGAGTATAAGCGTCGATGGGGAAAAACACGTCTTCTCTTAGGAATAGCTAACCCACTCATGTTTTGCGTTCGTGGAGTATAATAAAGAATCATTAGCGTTAAAACATACTAGCAGTCAACGTGACCATGACAAGACGACAGGTCTCGGAGCGGCCGTCCACGCTGCACCACCCCTCAGGACGACCAGGTTTAGTGGTTTATTTGGTAGCATAAATTAATGTGGCAATATTCACAAGTATCACAAATAATTTTGTTAACAGAGAGCTCCTCATATTTCATACTGTCTATTTATCACTTCCCGACCTTATTTATAAGGGTTTGTTTCACTTGACCAGGCCATAGTAGCTGCTCAGCAGGATTACAGGGCTGCCAACATACGGCTGGAACAAGTCGCCTTTCCCAATACCTATAGTCACTGGTCTCAAATTGTTCACATTACAGTATGCACCGATACTTTTTGTTGCGAGTGTACCTGTACTAGGTATACACGTACTGTAGTGTCTTGTCTCTCACAAAGTGGATCTTGTTGATAGTGAGCTTCCTCTTATTATACTGGTTCTCATCGTGTTTTAGTGTTTATTGGTACTGTGTTGGTATTTGCTTCATCAGCTTGCCCACCCACAGATGTGACAAATAAGAGAAGTGATGTTACAACATTCCGAGGAGCGCTGGAGTCAGTAATGCGTCAACACTATCCTCAAATGGTGGGCCATGTGGCTATTCGAATGGTGTCTGCTCCTGCAGTCTGCTCTGATGGCCTTAATATTTTATCCAGGTCAGTAAGATGGTATAGCTATGAAATTAATGGCCTTTACAGTCAGGCTTTATGCATGAGTGCAACTTCAGTGTTTCAAACTAAAGGGGGGGAAGGGGTGTTCGAAATACTGTACCAGATATTTTGAAAAAAAAATTATTACTCATTATTGTACAAATTCAAAATGCATTCCTAGTAACAAAATATTTTACATTAATCTTCCATTAAGGCTTAGGGTATGTTCTTAAAATCCCTGATTCTTGCAAAAAGAAAAAGCCTCTGTTCAGATCACTAAATTCATCCTTAAAAGTAGCTTTAACTCTACTAATATAAAAGCTTAAAATTTTAGGCATATACTGTACACATCAATAATGAGAGCATAAAAAGTGCAAAAATTATACAAGTCAATTTACACACTGCATCACAGTCTCAGGGATACTGTATGCCTCAACACTCACATTAGTGATGCAGCCCAGCTGGGATGTGGCCTCACTGCTTTCCCTAGCACTGTTACTTTTTGCCGTGGACCCTCTGGCCTCCACACACTTTTTGCCACACTACTTCATAGTGGAAAATAGTAGATAAATAAAACATTATACCTTACGATAATTATTATTATTATTTCATTTTTTATGCACATTTTGTACTCTATGTTGGATTATGTGTGCATGTAACTGAGTATAAAAATAATGTAGATAGTTTACATACTGTATATCTACCTGAAATTACAATTTGAAAAATTACCACAACATAACAGTCGTGTAGTATCTTACACGCATTCAACTTGACGCGCTTGGCTTAGGGGGAAAAACACAGTGAGTGTAGGAGGGTATGGCTGTGGGAGATACTTCCATCCACGCTTCTCTTGGCCTCAACTGCCATGTGTACTGAGCAGGGGAGGGGTTTGGGTTGTGTGCTTCTGCCAACTGACTCTTTGCAACAGTTACTAAGGGTCGGTCAGCAAAGGCAGCACATCCCAGCTGAGCTGCAATACATGTGTGCCCTATTTTGTATAATTTTTTATTTTTTATGCTTTCATTATTTTTCCAAAATATTCTCTGCTGAAATCAACTTGGCAATCAGTGAGAAAGAGAATAAATTAAACATACAGCAGAGGTGGTTAGAATCGATTAAGGATGATATAATTCAAACTTAGATAAGTGGTTCAAAATAGAGGTAACCTGTTCAAACTTGAAATTTGTTTGAATTTCGTATTTCCAGGTTCAATGCTTGATCTCGAAATAAATTTTTATTTTTTTGGTCTCAGCCTGAGTCCATATGGCCTTGATTCCTCACCTGTGTGTGGAGAAGTTGCTGGAGGAGACACTATACCAGTGGGTGCTGTGCCCCTTTTAGCCACCACTGTTCCAGAGTATGATGAAGCTGTCACCTGGACTCTTAATGCAACTAATGGGGCCTACCATGAGTTCCTCAGATCAGAAGAAGGGCAAGGTTTCAATGGTCAAGTTTATGTTATTGGTAAGTGGTAGCAGTGTATATAGTAGGGCAATGTTTTTCAAACATTAAATAGTGCCACCCCCCCCCCCAAGTCAGCAAAGTTTGCACTGAGCTTCACTCTCCTTAAAACTTTCCTGAGTAATAACATCAAAATCAACATTTTCTTTGCCTTTTTTATAAATATATATAATTTTTTTTAAACATTAATTCTTAGAAATTTTAATTAAATTTTTTTTTTGGTGAAACCAATCAACTACATTTATAAGTGTCATGTGTGAGCTTGTTCTTCAACACAAAGTCTTTCAAATAGCCATTGATGAAGTAGTGGCTCCCATTTGTTTCTCTGTTATATTCTGTGAACGACTCTTTGTCTCCATGATATCACAAAATGTAGAAATATATTGATGGCCTTGTCTGACAAGATGGGATACTCCTTTTTGACATGCAGCCAAAACTTAGAAAGATTTTCTGTATCAAATGTCAGATATAACAACCATCACTTGGTAAGTCTAGGGGTTATTCTTGTTCAAAAGCTGTTAACTTTCAATGTTTTATTAGGCTACTGTCAGATGATTTTATTCTGCACCAGTGTGTAGCCTGTACTCAAGGAGTTGATGGCAGTTATATCCAAATATATCTGTAATTAGAATAAAAGAATTTGAGAATTGTGGTGAAATTGTATTATGACGTGTTAAAGGAATCTTGGGGGAGAGAGTGGGAGGGAGCCACTCACCCATGCTACCCCCCTCCCCTCTGCTCCCAGATATACAATCATCTTCCACATACACTATACTCCGACACTTTTTGTTCTTTTTTATCTTTATAGTACTGTACAGTAGGCCTATACAGTTTTCTCTTTATTCATAAGACAAATTCTGTGGTTGTTTACAATTAACAGTCAGTTACAATCATCTCGGTGAAAACAATTGTTGACAACCAGATTTACAATATGTGTGATTTTTAACCCAGAGAGTTGTTTCATATTTTGTTTATTGTTGATGTACAGTAATATTCTTTTAATAACCTTGTTATACACTTACAAAAAGATCTTAGTTATTGAAGTGCAGTAATAACATAACTGGTTTTCTTAAAGCAGTTCACATAAACAGTGTTATCCCCCCCCCCCGTATAGTCACTTTTCTCAGACTTTCTCATTTTTCGAACTGGGATCTGCCCCAATTAGTCCGATTTATCGAGGTTGTACTGTACTATATATATATATATATATATATATATATATATATATATATATATATATATATATATATATATATATATATATATATATATATATATATATATATATATATATATATACACACACACACAGTAGTACCCCGATTTACGCTGTCAATTGAGCCCACAGGGTACCGCCTTAAGTGAAATCCGCGTAAATGGAACAACAGAACATATGGGATTAATTCCAATGGAGACTGGCCCGACCCCCAAGCTCTACTTTTTCCGACACAATACCTATGTTCTAGTAAAAATAACATCTTAATTTTATGATGGTACATGCACACAATTAATACTTAAGAGAAATAGAGAAATACAGTCGCCAAGTTAATATCCATTCAAATAATGGACTCAACTCCCTCCCCCTCTTCACACACTACACTGCTGGCTCTTCCCTCTCTGAGAAATTTTGGGGGGAAAACCACTAGATTTTAATAAATAATACCTCAAACTAAAGTTAGGATAATACAATTGACATTGCTGGATTTCTTGTTAGACCAGGAATATTTTGAATATAAATGTCATATATTTTGCACAAAAGATAACATATTAACTCAGAGAAAACATTTTATCTAAAATTTGTATGTCTAATGCAAAATATATGATGTTTATATTCAAAATGATCACCAAATTATAAGAATTCCAGCAATGTAAATTATATTCTGGCCGGGTAATTTGTATGAATTTTATGAGCTAAAACAGGCAGGGTTGGGTGGGGCAAATCTAAAAATAGCGTCTCGAGCCGGACACTCACCGCGTATATGTGGAAAAAATCCGTGTTAAGTGAAAGTTCAGCTCTGGTGAGGCACCGCGTATATGAAAAAACGCGTTAAGTGAAACCGCGTTAGGCGGGGTAATAGTGTGTGTGTGTGTGTGTGTGTGTGTGTGTGTGTGTGTCATCAGACTCTTGTAATGTGCTATTTAGCCATTTAATTTTTTCAATATACTTACCATTATTCAACTATTCTCAGGTGACAGTATTGGTGGTGTCTTGGCATACGATGTTCTCTGCCGTGTCCATGAACAACACAGATATGGAAGCAATAGCAACATTCCTGAGGGAGAACCGCCTTCCCCGGGTCAGTACTACAAGCAGAAGTCTCCTCCAGGACAAACCCAATCCTCTTCCCTCTCCCCAACCTCCCCACCTTCACTTTCTCCAGACCAACACATGACTTCATCACCCTTGACCTCCCCATCCCCAACTATCACTGTAAGTTTTGAAAATGCTTTAACTAACCCCACGGGAGAGGTGTTCTCCCCGTCTTCAGATGGAAAGTCTCCACAGTCCCCTCACAGTCCTCAGGCTTCTGGTAAATTCCCATCGCCTCAATCTCCCACCAATCCCCACACTCCCTTACGCAAGATATCTTCTCCTCTTCCCACTCCAAAACATTTAGGCCAACTTACTAGAAAGTGTTCAGCACCTTGCAGCATCCCTGGAAGTGGTGCTGGGGGATGGGGGTGTTGGTCAGCTGGAGGATGTAGTAGCACTCCCACACCATCACCACCAGGGGCATCCTCCACTTACCCATCTACTTTATATCAATCCCACCAGTACTGCAACCCTCTTCACCGCTCCTATCATCAGGGTGTTAGTAATGCCCTTGATACCCTCACCCCTGGGCCACTGTATGAGAAGAGAGGCAAGTGCGACTTATTCCGTATTATCCTGCTTAGCATCCTGATGAGCACGCAGTTGAATTTGCGATAATTTGATGACGGGTAATCATGCCTTTTTTATACTTGGCAGCCCAGTTTTGCATTGTGTATTATCAGGTCAAATCAGATTCACAAAAGAATTACTTCATTTGATATACTGTACTGAATTTAATCCTGTTAGATTTGTATATTTACAAGACGAGAGTGTAAGTGTGATTGTTTTTGTGCAGAATGCAACATTTTCTTAACTTCATAGTGCTCTAAATGTAATTAGTTATTTTAATATTTTATACTGTACATATTATGCTCCAGATGTTAAATAAATTAGACTTGATCACTTAAAGTCATTTATAAGTATATAGGGTATATCAGCATGTTGCTTTTGAGTGTACAGTATGAGTAATTAATCTTGGCTGTAATATTGAATGAAACAAACCTTAAATATAAATGCATTTGGCCACATTACTAAGAGAAGGTTGGCAAACTAATAAACATCATTAAATAAGCAAGGAGTAACATAATTACATATTTTAATGATTTATATTGTACAGTAGCAATAATGCTTGTTTTAAATCATGTCATCTTCAGGGATAAATTAGAGAGATCATTGGATTAATCTTGAATATGAAATACAGTCGCCAAAAGGTAACAAAGATGAGACTTGCTCTTCTAAAATGTATTGTCTTTTGTTGGTATAATTTGTACCATTTTATTTTGTCATCATACTGGTTCATATAGTCTTTCTCAAATACTGTAAATATCCCACTCCTCTGCAACACAGCTCTACCATCACTGTTGTAGATCCATTATGCTAGTGACTTGTTCGTCCTCCTGTCATTGTTGGATAACCTTTGATACCTTGATGAGCTTGGAGAACAAAACATTGAAATATTAAATATTATAATATATATATATATATATATATATATATATATATATATATATATATATATATATATATATATATATATATATATATATATATATATATATATATATATATATATATATATATTGGGGTATGCTATAATGAATCTAATTGGTTCTAGAACCTTGTTCGTTATAGCATTCGTTTGTTATAGGATTAATCCGATCCAGGCCCCCAAATACAACCACTTAACACTGAAAAATATAATATAAAATTGTAAAAATTTTAAAAAAGTGCATAAATATGCATCTAAACCCCTGAAATAAAGAATATCATTAATACTTGTAATAAAAAAACAATAAATTAGTAAAAAAAAATTTAAAAAATAAAATAAATAATGTTCGTTGTAGGAGTTTCGTTCGTTATAGCATTTTCAATTTTATAGGTAAAACCGTTCGTTATAGGAATATTCGTAGTAGGATCCGTTCGTTATAGCATACCCCACTGTATATATATATATATTATATATATATACATACAGTGGTCCCTCGGTTAACGAGCACAATTCATTTCAGAAGGTCGTTCGTTAACCGAAAATTTCGTTAACCAAATCCATTGTTTCAATGGGATATTGGGTAATTGGTTCCAGCTCACCGAAAAGTACATACAAAGTAAAAAAAAATGCAGTAAAGTACACTTACTTTGCAGTGTGTATGTAGAAGGTTCCTGGTTGATGATGATGATGGGAATTAGAAGTAGGGGTGGAGGAGAAGGGAGAAGAGAAGGAAGTGGGGATGGAGGAGAAATCACCTTTCAGTGGACCCATGCTTGATGCCTCATTTCACCAATAAAATTTTAAGTTCACTTGGTGTAATTCAAGATTATTTTATTTAAATCAACACTGCACTGCACTATATATTATCAATATGTTAACTAAAGTTCAAAATGACCAATAATTTCAATGAAAAATGCAAAAATATTCAAGACACCAACAAAATACCTGTAGGTGCTCTCTCAATTGTAAACAAAGCCAGACTGAACCTGTACAGGGAGTACTGCATATAATATTATCAACATGTTAAATAAATGTTAAAATGACTAATATTTTTAATATAAAACATTCAAAAACATTAAAAAGCCTAAATTCATTGATATTTAATCCATTGGAAACGAATTTAAACTTAGAACAGATTACTGAATTGGCTGAGTACTGTACCCCCTCAGCTGATTCTCACAACAACAAACTGGCGTATAAGTTCCCTCTACAGTACTGCATATATTATCATTATTTAATGTTAAAATGACAAATAATTTTAATATAAAACATTAAAAAATATTAAAAAGCTCAATTATATTGATATTTAATCCATTGGAAACGAATTTAAACTTAGAACAGATTACTGAATTGGCAGACTGGGCCACCAGCTGATGCTCACAGCAAAGTGTGATTTTCGTAAGGATTTCGTTAATTGAATTTTTGTTTGTTAACCGAATTGAAGATTCTTATGGAAGGTAATTCGTTAACCGAGGCGTTTGTTAACCAAGGGACCACTTTTTTTCATTGAATTCTTTACCTGATGTGATGTGTTTTGATTTTTAACTTTCGTATAGTTGAGGTGCTTGTGAGAAAATGATCAAGCTTGATGACATCTGCAAATTGGTTTTGTATTATGGAATGGGTACGAGTTGATTTGTATCTACAGACCTTTGACTCTTTCTTGACAATTTACAGTGCCTTTCAGAATCAAAGGATAGGATTGATTATATTGTGTGAAGTTAGTACAGTAGCTCCTCATAATTCAGTATTTTTCATGAGTATTTTATCATATGTGTACTTGAGCAATTGCCTCAATGCATACCATTAAATTGTTTACCTTACTTTTGTGAACCTGACTGTCGTTTTCAGGATTTAAGTTTCATTTTAAGCTTTTTTTTAAAGCTAGTAATTTATTGAAAGTTTGTGTAGCTTGTATAGACAACAGCATTCTTAGAAGGCAAATAACTTCAACGTGCATGACTTGGAAAGGAAGTTTTAAACATAGAGCTTTGTGAATACAGTGTTTTAAGATATATGTTACATGTTATAAACTTATACAGTACAGTATTGGTATTTATGAGTTGGGACATAATAGATTTATTGACAGAGATGATGCTCGAATTAACTTAAATTATTCTGGATTTGCTGAATTCTCAAAGACTTGCATGTATAAATAGAAGTAGTTTATCCATAAGACACTAGAAGCTTCAGTAGTTCATATCTAAATCTATTTGATAATTTTGCTATTGCATGGATTATAGTTAATTTGGGTAATATCTCGTTAATTTTATAAAGTTGGTTGAGAATAATACTGCACTTTAGATATATTCTTGTAGCATATTTTAATTATACAGTTGGGCATTATGACGTGTGATGCATGAACTATTTGCCGCTTTAAAGGGTTGATCAATATTTTTTTTTATATCTCGCATAAAAAATATATTTCAGATGAATTTAATCTTATCAAGTCATTTAAATAGATAGAGTGAATTGTTGACTATTATGTAATGTTCTGTCATAACCCCAGTATAGTAAATGCTGTATTGTTCACAATTTATCAATTGCATAGCAGTATACTCAGTATGACAGGTTTATTGGTTGTTCAATGCTATTACTTACACTCTAACTCACCTGACAGAGCCACTATATCACACTTCCTTAGCTCTGTGACAGTGCTGCATTCATACCTGGATGTGGTCTGCTACCTATGCTTGGCATTGTTGAGAAGATGGATTATCTTTGGTTCTTATCTGCCACTTTCTCTGCCATCCAGTGTTCGACTACAGTATATATTATTTCTCAAGTTTTCTTGTGTTGAGTGGAAACAGATCAAAATTAATGGCCAGTACCAGATTTTCAAATACAGTGCAACCTCGAAAATTCAAATTGCATGGGCCCATGAAGTATGCGAATTTTAGAAAAATTCAAATTTTAGATGCATGGAAATGCCATAGCAAATTGTTGTATCAAAACATGCTACAAAAATTAATTACATATTTAAAAACTGTCAATAAGCAATAGGTATAATGAATTAAAAGGATAACTGTATTTATGTTCAACAACATTTATTCTAATACTGTATATTTAGAACATTATAGCTACAGTAATCCTGCCAGTCTCCAGTACGGTCTCCAAATACTGTACTATACAACACTGCGTCTCCATCCACCTTCACTGTACTGGATACAATACATGACCTAGCATGTCTTGGAACCCGGATGCGCTTGTTGTGCTCAGCATTATGATCACATTTGAAAGCTTGAATTATTATGGCGATATTTTCAAATTCTAAACCTAAAATTTTGGCACTTATTTTTAATTAGATGCTATTCGAATTTTAGTTGCATCCAAATTTTTGGAGGTTCGAATCTTAGAGGTTTCACTGTATCAGAACTCATTTTTACTCTACTATATTTTATTGTATTTTTTTTTAAAGAAAGTTACAACATATATTTTACCACTTCTTCACTGTAAATACTGGATAACCCAAATTTCTACAATATGGTACTGTGTGAGGTTTTGCATAAAATAACTATTTCTCCTTTAAGTAAATAGATAATGCTTTTCTACACAAATATGAACCACAGTTTGATCCTGTACAGTATTAGTATTTGTTATTGTTTATTTCATAATTTATCCAATAAATTGGGCAACTTATGTAGTTACAACAGCAAACTTGTAAGTTTAATTCAAGAGTTCCTAGGAGGCTCCATTTGCATGACGGCTGTAGTACAGTAAAATTAGGTAAGTTGGGAGCTCTCTTGGTGCAACTACAATATATACTGTAGTCTTTATTAAAGGGTAGCATTAATGACCTGAAGGTGAGATTAGTGCGCTTACATCATTGTACATAGAGGGAGTGCACAGAACTCTACAGCTCTAAGTAATTTTGTAGTACTGTACTGTACAATATATTAATTTATGCATATAGGGAAGCATTTTGCTTAATATTTGATTTAGAAAACTGCTGATAAGTTCACTTACATGAGACCATAGTAAAGGGTAAAGAAGAGGTTGTAGGTAGTGAACAAGTTGTCTATGTAGTAACACTACAGTAAAGGTGATGGAGCAGTAATTTT